CGCCACTCGATGTCAAACATGGTGTTGGCAGCGCTGGCAGGGAGAGGGACACCATAAGCAAGGGCCACCTGTGTCCCTCCCACCATCCCTGGCCCCCCTTTCCTGGCCCCCCCAAGGCCACACTCACACTTCAGTGGCCACAGCCTGGATGCCCCCATGGGCCACCAGAGTCCAGTAGCTGCCAGTGTCGGTGTGCAGGCTGCACTTGTTGGTGTCACGATCAATCTGGAGCTGGAAGGTCTCATGGTTCAGCTCCTCGTCCTGGTTCGCCGAAACGTTGACGCCTGGAGGTGGGAGCAGCTGTTGGCACCGGCCCCGCTCTGGCCACGTGTGCCTGCCGGCCCCAGCCCCTCCCCAGCAGTGGTAAATCCTCCAGCAAACAATCGTGCTAATTGGGCTGGTTAATCTGATTGCGGCTGCATCCATCTGGTTACGGCCACAGTGCACAAACCCCCTATTTATAGCCTGCCCCCCACCCGCACCCGGCACTAAGCTGCTTGGCACCAGGGCAGGTGCGTTCCAGGTGCCTGTGGACACAGCACAGCCACAGCTGCCTGGCTGTGGGGGTCGCCTGGGCACCAGGCTGCGTGTGCAAGCTGTGCAAACACACAGGTGTGCCCCCATGGCCGTGCACTAGGGACCTCAGTCCTACATGTAGGTGCAGGCATGTGGCACACATGGGGCTGGAGAGAGCCCTGCACACCTGCGCACACACATGGGCTGCAGAGCCATACACAGGTATGTCCACACACAGCATTGTTCATGCACAAGCGTGTATGGGCTACACACACGCATGCACCTGCAAACGCTGCACAGACCCTGCATGCACATGTATGTGTGCATAGACACTTGTGTTTACACACACCTACCTTTACACAACCATGGAGCTCTACACATACATGCACACCCCTAAACACCCCCTCAGACCCCTCTACACACCCCCAGACTCCTATATACACCCTGTACACAGCCCCAAGGCCCCACTGCTGCTCCCATCCGGGCCCCACTGGCTGCAGCCCCCCCACCCTTTATTGTAGAGTCTTCTCCCTGATGGGGAGCCCCAGGGGTGCCCTGGCTGTGGGTGCTTTTGGCTGAGTTTATCCCCATGGTGGGTCCCAATGCAGGCAGGGATCTGGCAGGGAGGTACAGACAGGGATGGAGCAGGCAGGGAGCAGGTAGCAGGGAACTGGCAGGGAGCAGGCAGTGAGGTGCAGGCAGCCCTTACCCTGCCGGATAGAGACGTATCTTCCATTGGCAGCTGTGAAGACCACCTGTGGGTGACTCTCCTCCAGGTCAAAGAGTTCATCCTTGCCTGGCTTGGAGCTGCGGCCAGATTTGAGGGTGCCGGTGGGTCCGGTGGGCGCCAGGTATTTCCCGTCGCAGTCCTTGAAAGCCAACTTGCCAGCCTTGAACTCGAGGGTGTACCCGGTGCCGGCGCCGGGCTCGGGCACCAGGGCCCCATCGCAGCGCAGGTAGCGCTCGTCAGCCGTGCGCAGGCTGTACTTCTTGTCCTGGAAGCAGAGGGTGATGAGAGCATCCACCCCCCAGGGCAGGTTGCTGTCGGTGGCAATTTCATCCTCCTGGGCGCTGAGGTGGGCGTAGCGGCGGCGGCTGATGCTCAGCAGGTTGGCCTGGGGGTGCATGGCCAAGTGCACGGTCCAGAGCTCCCCCTCCGTCACGCTGGGGGCGAAACAGGAGAGCTGATCCTGGCGCCCCCCGAAGAAGCGCCGGTGCGGGGCCGACTGCAGGGCCCAGCGCCCGTCCGACTGCGTGAT